GGTTCTCAGGCATTGGAACAGGCTGCCCAGGGAAGTGGTGGAGTCACCATCCCTGGAGGGATTTAGAAGATGTGTGGATGTGGTGCTTGGGGACATGGGTTAGAGGTGGACTTGGCAGTGCTAGGTTTACGGTTGGACTCGATGATCTCAAAGGTCTTTTCCAACTGAAATGATTCTGTGCAGAACACTTCTGGTTTTGGGTCTTTCCCCTTTTTGTGAATTGCCTATAGCAGCTCCTGTGGAAGAACTGGGGATGGGAAGGGGGTAGAGAAGACTAACTTTGTGGGAGATAAAGCCTGTGAGGATCTTTCTGTGAGGCTTTTTGTCCTGGAGCTGTTAGAATTTGAGCCCGTGGCTCAAACAGTCTGAACTCTGGCTGCTTGCTCTATATTGGGCATGTACCACTGATTAAAGCAGCAGGGGAATCTCCTGGAGGAAGGGAATAATCAGGATGGGATAAGCTTGTGCTAAACAGGGAGGATATAGAAGTTTGTTTGCTTTTGTTGTACAGATTTGGCTTCATAATGCAGGAAGTAAGTACAGCTCTGTAACAGATTGCCAGGTGTGCAATACAGTAGGGAATATGGAAACTTGTAGTAATGGTTTTTAGAATATTAGTTGATTATTGTGATGGGAAAGGGATGTGAGCTGGGAAGGTGACTGAAATGTGAAATTATCAGGTAAGAGCTAAAAATGGCATTTTTTCTCATGAGTGCTTGCCTATGCTGCATCTGTTGAAATTGCTGAGTGTGTTTGTGTGTTTGCTAGCTCTGCTGGAAAAAAATTCCAAGCTTTCTGTGTATCCCTGTCCTGTATTTTAGCTGGAACAGAGCTGGGTTTCTGTTCAGTAGCTAGAATAGTGCTGCATTTTGCTTTCAGCCTGGGATTTATGAGAAACACTGATAACACACCAGTGTTTACATTTTTGTCACGGAAGTGAAGGACTTTGTGTTCTGTTAGTCCACAAGCACAAGATTTAAGGGGGGAGAAGAATATTTAAATTAATAAGCTAAACTGACAGTTAGATATGCCAATGGGGTATTCCAGATCATATCACGTCATGTCCACTATATCAGTGAGGGTCTCTTCCTCTTTCAGCTCTCTCTGGTTTTCACTCGGGCTCTCACTCTTCCGGGATTGCAGTTTCGGTTTGGGATTGTTGCTCCTCTGGGATCGTTATCTGGGAACAGGCCAGGCTTGGTTGGTTGGTGGTGAGCAGTTGCACTGGGTATCACTCATTTGTATGTTTTGTTACTGTTATCATTATCACTACTATTTTAATATTAGTATTATATTAAGTTTTCTTTTATTTCTATTATTAAATTGTCCTTATCTCAACCCACAAACCTCCTTATCCTTGCCCCCCCAATTCTCTCCCCTGTCCTCTGGGGGTGGAGGGGAATTGGGTGAATGGCTGCATTGGCTGCTGGCCAAGGGCTAGCCCAGTGAAACTATCACAATCCCCAACAGACATTTTACTCTAGCAGTGGTTTTCAGCATTTATTCATTAGTGAAGCTCCTAAGTCTTCTAATGAAGTGTTAGTTGTAATTTCAGTATAGTTTAATTTGATGTGTCTTTGCTAGTCTGTCTTGATTTGCAAGTTAGACCTTACAGTCAATATACCAGTCTTGAGTACCATTGCACTGAGACTTGAGGCTGAGGGGCATAACATTTCTTACATTTATTTGGATATGTTATCAACTGCAAATCCAGATTTAAATTATCAGTTTAATAAATGACTGTAAACACTTAGATACAGCATTTAGTAGCTAAGCTGCTGTCAGGAAAGATTTTTAAAAATCTTTTAAATTTTCCAAAATACCAAGTTCAGTGATACTGACTTTTACCTTAACTTTGTTTTCACATTTTCCCCTACATTGTTTCTTTCTTCTCTTTCAATGCACTCTAACAAACCTGTGTTCACTCTGCCTTGGTTTGTACTTAGACAGGAACTTGTAGGCTCTTAACCTAGTTAGCTTGTTCTTTAGAAAGACTCCTACCTCTGCTGGAATTTCCTTTTCACCCATAATATCTTTTCACACTTCTATTAAACTTGCAAGACACTGATTATCTCTTCTTGTGAGAAGATCCCTCAGTCTTCTCACTGTCACAAACTGCAAAATAAAGCTGTAGTTGCATAGTGTACCTTTTAAGGTTTATGTTTGTGTTCTTACTGATGCCATTTATTTCTCCTGAACCCTTTTCAGACAGAGTTACATAGTTTATCCCTGTCTCATCACAGCCTTAATTCTGCTGAGGCTTACCCAGAATTGTTCATTGTTTGCTTTAGCTTATGTGTAAAAACAGTAGTAACTTTAAAATATTTCCCTGCCTATGCTGCCAACCATGAGAGCACAGGTTCAGAGTTGGATATTTGCCCACTTTGCCCACTTCTAGCCAATTTTGTTCATACTTCTCCAACACAATGTTAGTTGCAATGAAGCTTTATAATTTAGTTTTCAGACTGAATTCTAGTGAATGAATTTGCAAGGTGTTAGAGTCAAATGTAGGCATACAGAGAGAGGTTTGTGTAGCATACCTCTGAGTAAAAAAAACCTGTGTATCTTTTTTTCTTAGTAAGCTGCCACCCACATCAGTGATGCTGTCACATCCTTTGAAAAAGTAATATGGCTTGTCTGGAAATATGCACAAGAGTTTGCCTTTCCTGAACAGAGAGACTATAGAAAGGTTAAACATACATAGTTTTGCCTTAATAATGTTCCTAATATTTACTTTTTCAAACCTCATTATTCCAGTTATGTGCAGATAATTCTTAGTAGCTGACGAAGAACACAGATTTGCTTTGGGGTTCTCCCAGCCTGCACATAGGCAGAGAAACGCTGTGCAGATGTCTGTGGTGTTTTGGGTGTGAACTTTCCTCATCTTCTGATTAGTGTCTCCTGGCTAGCCCTCCCCTCCAATGTCAGTTTTTATTTGTGTTGAATTTTATTCCTTAATAAAGCAGACATTCCAGCCATGAATTATTACAAAAGTTGAATATTACTAATTACAAGCAGTGTAGTATAGTAATTTGTGAAATATCCCTTACTGGTTCACCTGTATTCAGTGGTTTGTGTAGTCTCTTAGAATGAATACTTTTGGTAAAACTTTGCAACAGCAAAATCTTAATGAGAACTAGGAACTATTTCAAAATGTTTGATTTAAATCTCAGTGGTATAAATACGTGCACCACACTTCAATTAATTGCTGGTTTAGAGAAGCATAATGTTAAAATTGAGGCATAGAATGGTTAGGATTGGAAGGGACCTTAAAGATCATCTAGTTCCAACCCCCCTGCCATCAGCAGGGAGACCTCCCACTAGACCAGGTTGCTCAAAGCCTCATCCAGCTTGGCCTTAAACACTTCCAGGGAGGGGGCATCCACAACTTCCTTGGGCAACCTGTTCCAGTGTCTGACCACCCTCACAGTGAAGAACTTCCTAATATCTAATCTAAACCTGCCCTCTTTCAGCTTAAACCCATTTCCCCTTGTTTTGTCATTAATTGCCCATATGAAAAGTCCTTCCCCAGCTTTCTTGTAGGCCCCTTCAGGTATTGGAAGGCTGCATAACAAGAATAAATTGGTATTTTTCAGAACACACCTCACTGTCCCAACTATACATATGTTATGTTAAATATCATGCCCATCACAGAGAGGAGGTAATGCTAAAAGATGGGTTGCAAGTATCTCTTATGTCTTGAAACTTATTTCTACTGTAAGTTATACCTGTGATGGAAATGATTAATATTACTAAAACTTCAAGTTTATAGTATCAAGTTTTCTTTCCATATGAAAAAAGTTTATGTTAAGGAAGGTGTATGTGTGAGGTGACACGTCTAACCCAGTCTTAAAAGTGTCATCAAATGAAAGTCTTTCCTTCCTGCCTTTCCTTTCTCTTGTCTGTATGGTGACACAGTTGAGAGAGCAGGAAAAGCATCAAGCAAAAAGATAAAAGCTTACTCTCTTTTTTAATATAGTTTTCTGTTGGCATTTGTCCCTGAGCCAGGTCACCATGAAGCCTGACAAGTGCCTGTTCCATCGCTGTTTATTCAAGAGAAGTGGCAGGAGTGTATGGCTAGGAGGAGGACTGCCCCTTAGCCATCCTAATCACAGAATGTCAGGGATTGGAAGGGACCTCGAAAGATCATCTAGTCCAATCCCCCTGCCAGAGCAGGAACCTAAATGAGATCACACAGGAAGGCGTCCAGGTGGGTCTTGAATGTCTCCAGAGAAGGAGACTCCACAACCTCCCTGGGCAGCCTGTTCCAGTGCTCTATCACCCTCACTGTAAAGAAGTTTCTTCTCAAGTTTAAGTGGAACCTTCTGTGATCCAGCTTACACCCATTGTCCCTTGTCCTACTATTGGGCATCACTGAGAAGAGCCTGGCTCCATTCTCCTGACATTCACCCTTAACATAGTTGTAAACATTAATTAGGTCACCGCTCAGTCTCCTCTTCTCCAAGCTAAAGAGCCCCAGCTCCCTCAGCCTTTCCTCATAAGGGAGATGCTCCACTCCCTTAATCATCTTCGTGGCTCTGTGCTGGACTCTCTCAAGCAGTTCCCTGTCCTTCCTGAACTGTGGGACCCAGAACTGGACACAATATTCCAGATGCAGCCTCACCAGGGCAGAGAGAATCCTAATCTATGGATTCAGGATGTGAGTTAATACAATCGACTTCTAGCTATTTAGGCACCATGCATATCCCACCCCCATGTGATTCAAGCACTGGGTATACCTTATTGGAAAGGGCTACTGTGAAGCATGGGTGGATCAGTTAAGTTCTAATTCCTTTTGCTCATCTAGGTTGACCTGCTGAAAAGTTTACTTGTCTGACTACATTGACAAACGCTTGGTGGAGTATTTATGTTACATAATGGGGTTGCCTCAGTCCACAAAATATATGCAAGAGGCTTTTCCCTGGTAATTCCAATTAAGGTGAGCTACAACAGGGTTCTTCAGTAACTTCACTGTTTTTTATTTAACCTTGTGTCTGCAGATGGAGGAGGAGGACCTAAGTGAAAGAGGATTGTCGCAAATTGCTTCAATCATGAATAGAGTGAGAGACTTGAAAAACAAATACAGAAATGAAGACAATATCACAGATGAATTTAACTGTACTAAAATCTCAGCTGATACAACAGGTATGTGTTGTTGTTATTCTGTCACTTATGCAACTGATCTTAACCTAGACTAAGAGTGAAAGAGGCATTAACTGCAAAGTTGTAGGGTTTAGTATTTGTTCAGTATTAATGACCACAAAATACATTTCATCTCTCCTTGTTTCTTTAGTTAACTCTGTTGCTCTAATCTTGTGTTAACAAAAAAAAAATAAATCACTCGTCTTCTTACATGAAAGCTCATAAAAATTGTTTCCTTCTGTTCATGTTTGCTGCAGTTTTAATCAATCTCCTTTGTTATTTTTCTGTCAGATAACTCTGGAACTGTTAATCAAATAATGATGACAGCAAATAATCCAGAAGATTGGCTGGTTTTTTTGCTTAGGCTGGAGAAAAAGGGTATTCCTCAGATGGATGTTAGTCTACTGAACAGACTCATTGGTCGTTACAGTCAGGCGGTGACTGCATTGCCTGCAGAAAAGCACAGTCAGGATGAGAGCTACGCTCGCATCCTTGTGAGATTTGCCGAGTTGAAGGCGTAAGTATAAATTTTCAATTTTCAATATAAGAACTCATCATTCAGAGTTCTGAATTTGAATGATGATAGATAAAAATAGTTTGCTTTCATTAGTGCTTTCTGCAATAAATTATTTTGAGTGGGGATGTTTTCATATCAGCTCCTGGAAACTCTGAGCAGCTTTGGCTAGTTGGCTTATCTGTTGTCTCCACAGTACTTGCATTTTTTGTATATGCTAATAAACATGATTGTTCATAACTATTCGATTTAGAGATGTGAAAGTTTTTTCTGGGTGCCACGTGTAAGGTACATGGGGAAACAGCATGAGACTTTTTCCTTCAGCTTTATACTTCAACTCAAAAGAAGCTGCATGGGTGAAATCTGATGTAATTTAGGGTAACTATAATCTGTGTATTAAACTGTGTATGTTTTAAGTTAGGATTAATTTCCCTGTGGACTTCTGTAACTGATTTGGTTGTGAGGTGGAAAATTTGCAATTATCTAATTCATCTAGTCAAACCATAGTGGTCTATCCTTGTCTAGTCTGCTTTCTCCCTTACTAGGAAGGGTGCATCCCTGCTGCATTAGAAAGCTGCCTTAGGGCAGCAAGAACATCACAACAGCATTTTGTACTTCCATACTTATGAAATTAGTTTTGATTGTGGCCATTTATTGCTTTATTCGGTCCAAATTTGAACAGTGTTCAGACATTTTCAGGCATAATCTGGGACAGAGTTATAATTTGGGTTTTTTTTTGTAAAGAGTTCTTTTGTCACTTGAAATACCACGCCAGCGAATATTTTGAAGAGCGGCATTGTACATTGTAGCAGTCCTTAAAAACTGAAGTTGAGCAGATCTTCCAGTGAGTATAGCTAGTCTTTTTCTGTTTCTTGTATGCCCTCCCATTTGGCTTTTAGGCAGGTGGCTTGATCTTGCAGTATGATATGGTCTGCTTCTTTGTCTGTACTGTCATTTGCATGGATCTTGCTGCATCAGTGTCTACTAAAAGCACACAATGGAAATAATCTGTTGAATCTGCTGTTGAGAAACAAGCAGGTGTGAATAATGACCTGCTGTGAATTGTTAGTATCTTGAATAAGTAAGGTGTTTTTGTGTAAGTGGAGTAAAGCATGCCTTCCAGAAGGGCCTTCTGTATTTAAAGATACTGAGAGGTTATGTTCTTATTTAAAGGTTAGTTACTTTTCCTCAGAACAGAAATTGTGTAACGTAGGCTTCCAGCTTATGCTTTCCAGAATTTCTTTTCCAGAGCGGTGTTTGGATGCTATTATCATGTCACATCTGTTATCTCACTACGTACAGTAGGAGCTTAAGTTCAAAGACATAATCACACCTCCCTAATCACTTTATAACTCTGGGACCTCTTTCCACTAGATCTTAAACCATGTTTTTTAAAGGTGGGTACTTGTAACATCACTGCTAGAACTGTCTTCAGTGTTCTGTGTATTGTAATGCAGACAGCAAAGCTGAAGGCATTTTCAGTAACCTGTTAATGCTAGAATGTATGAATATTTTAGTTGTGGTGTCCCACTGAAATGTCTTTAGTTGCTTCACTGCTACAGTTAGGGAGCTTCTTGGGAGAGTAGTCTATCTTGTTTCACTATTAAAATGCACTCTATAGCTACACTAAAATACCTTCTGCCTTGGTAACCAGCATTACTGTAGAATCTGCCTAGCTCACTGGGTAGTTCAGATCTGCTCTTTTTGTCTTGCTTTGTATTTTTAATTGGCAAAATACCATCAATCGTATGTTTCCTGAGTTGCTAATGAGAATTATTTTTAGAAAAAGATGAGCAATCAACTCCCAAACCCCCCTTCAAAAATGTACCCATCAAAATCTGACATAGCATCAATCCCAGTAGGACTTTGCTACAAGTATCTCCCTAAATGATGGTTCCCCATTTGAAAATCACTTCAGAGATTAGTCAGTTCTTAGCATTAGCTTATAATAAATTATTCTTTCATTCAGAATGGCATATAAAGTCAGTTATATGAAACTACATTTGTGAACTACATGTGTAATCACACTAGAACATGAAATTGCTTTTGACCAGATCTAAAAAAAAAACCCCAACAAACCAGCAGTGTTGCTTGCCTGTAGTTTTGCAGGTTAATGTTAAGCTAATCAGTGGTTATTTGGATCTTTTGGCATATTCACTCATTTTTGTAACTTTCTTGGTGTTTGAGATTTCCCTAGTGTTTCATACTCACCTTCTCTGTTCCTGGCTGTCAGTTTGGCTAGTACTATCTATTTTGTCTTTGCTCATTTTTAGCTTCCGTTGAAGAAAATCCTCTCATCTCATGACTTCCTAGGGTGCTTCTGATTTATTTTTCTTTAGCTATTGCAAGTAAAGTAACACTTTGATACACGGGTGCTCTGATGATAGTGTCTTTGGTGGGAGGAGAAAGGTGCTCTACAGTAGAGTTCTATTTGCTTCAACACTGTTTTCTTCTGACCAAAGCTTGGTTGTTACATTCTTGCACTGGACCTTGCTTGTCCTGGAATGTTCCCTAGCTGCAGTGTGACCTGTTATGATACTGAGGTTGTTTGAAGGGCCCTTGAATGTAGACTGAAGCAGGCAAAGGTGAAGAGCCAGCTGCATCTGTGAGTGATTATCTGTGTTGCGAGTTAACTGTGCCAGGCCTGCTTTGTTCATGTAGTGCTTCTGGCTGTAGCACAGTGCCACCAAGTGTGTGGCACTTGGTGCCTGTTGCTAACTTTAGGTCTTGTTCTGCATGTTGCTATCCAAGTCATTGCTACTTTCTACGGGAACTTAAATTTTAACATGCTTTTTGCAAGTGAATGTAATTCACATGTTACAGCTTAATTTGTGTTACTCTGACTTTGCCTGCAGATGGGTTATTCTGTGCCTCTCTTTTTTGGGTGATCAGAGCTGAGTTTATTAAATTTACTGGAGTCCAGTAACATGCATAAACTATGATAGAGACTTTGACTTTTCTCATTCTCATTCTTAGTTCCACAGAATTCTACTGGAAATATGCGTTGCTTTCTGTGTTGTATCTTTCTGCACTTACTTTTTAAGTTATTGTCATAAGTATTTCACCATCCCCACTTCTAAGTATTACCTTTGCTTACCTGTTGAACTAGAGTGGAATTGTGGAAGAACTTCCTTTATTTCTTGATTGTGGATTTTGCTAATAACAGTGTTAAAATACTTTTTTTTTTAAAGTAGGAGGGAGTCCATTGAAACATAATGTTAATTTATTTCATAATGATGTGATTTGAACCTTTTCTATCTTGACAAGCCTTTCCTTAAGCTATAAATCCTCTGGAATGTTTGAATGTTGGTGTACTGTGTGCAAGCATCTCAGTTGCCCTACTTAGCAATCTATGTCTGAATGTAAAACTAGGATTAAAATTTAGTAAAAGTAAAGAAACTATTAAGTGTGAGGTATCTTGTCTGGACTTTGTGGCACAATCTCTGCATTTTTGCAGTATACCATGTTTGCCACTGCTGCTTCTGGTGTGTCTGCAGAAAACAGACTTAAATCCACCTTGTGCTGTGGAATTTAACTGGTGAAGCTGTGTTGCCTAGGAGTATGGGGGAAAAAGGAGTGAATTCCCCATCTTGTAAGGAGTTGATGTTGCCGTAGAACCCTTGATAGAGTAGCTAATGGATAAATGCTCTTATTGTGCACTGTTTTTCTATAGGTATGGTATTATAGAAGTACCAACAGAAACAACTTCCTTCAGTGACCTACATCTCTGCTCAAGGAATCTGACAACTTGACTGCAGTTGCAGAAGTTTTTTCAGTGTAGAAAAGCTCATAAACTCTAGAATAATTTTGGAGTTTGGTATTGTCTTAATGTAATGAATTGGAAATTTTGTGAACATACTGCTGCAGAATATAACTAACAGTGTATCTAATATTTCTTTTGACTTGATAAATATGATATGTTTTTCCACACTTGGTGTTTCTAAAGCAACCTCATCCCTGTCCCCTTGCCTTGCAACCTCCTTCGCATAGGAGTGGATGCATGTAGAAGAATGGAGACTTTGCATAGTGTGAGCCTGTAGCCTGGAAGGGCTACAAGTGAGTGTTCTGTACGGGTCAGGGGGTGTTCTGAGGGAAAATATCTACACACTTTGAGGAATAATATAAGCACTGACAAAGAATGAGTCTAATCTTTCTCTTCTGGTTTGAGCACATTCTGATTTTTAGAAAGAGTCAGCTTGATATGTTTCAATTATTAGCTTTTTAAGGCTCTCTGCTTATTTGTATTTCCCTAATGGCTCTTAGGAAGAGGGAAAACTTCAGCTATAGGTGTATTGCTTTTCCAGAATTTCCTAAAGCCATAACCCAGCATGAGGAACTCGATCCTTGTTCTTCAGGCTCTTCACCTTTAGTAACTGTTGGTACTCTGTCTTTACAGCCTTCAAGATCCGGAGGAGGCACGGGACCAATTTCATCTGGCCAAGCTGAACTGCAAGAAATTTGCTTTTGTGCATGTGGCTTTTGCACAGTTTGAGCTATCACAAGGTGTGTAGAAAACAAACAAACAAACCACACTTGTTTGGTGTTGCTCTTCTGTGTCGTTTTAGGTTTTGTTCTTTGAAATTTTTACGCTGTTACATGATTTGCAAGGAAACTGGTAAGTATTAAATCAGAAAAAGAAAAATCTGGATTTTCTTTTTTTTTTGACTGAAATTTAACATGTATGTTCATTTTAAATTAAAATGTGCACAGTTCTCTAGTAGGTTTTTTATTTTTTTGAAATAATTTTCAAAGATTATTAAAATTGGCAGTGATTTCTGGTTGTTTGTGTTTGGATTTTTTTAAGCTTAGATCTTACATTGGGAGGTATTAGTAAAGCTCTTGCTGCATTGAAAAATGATGCTCAAATTTGGGTGGTAATTTCCCCTTAGATACTTTCACCTTGCTTGTGGAAGAAATTCTGGCTCCTTCCAAGCAGCAACTGTAGATTCTTTGTGTAGTTTTTTAATTAAACAAAAATACACTGTAAATGTGCGATTTGGTCCAATTAAATTTTCCCCTCTGCCACTCATGTTCTTAAGTAGCTGGAGTTTGATTCTTCTGTTTCCTGTTCCATTGTTGAACGTTCATGTTGGGACACTGGAGATAGTCCATATCTTTTATTGCTTCATAAATGCTGTGGACTGACTTCTTTGACAGTGTCATAACCATGTTCCAGGCAGTTGGGGTGGGAAGGTGGCAGTTTGTCAGTATTCCACAATAGAATGGTAGCCTTTGTCATGTGGTGCCATACAGCAGTGTTTGAGGCAAACCATTCTGATCTGAGTGTGATAATGTCTCTGGTTCCCTTATTTACCCTGTTCCTTGGCGTACTGGATCTGGCTGGGGTTAATTTTCCTAACAGCTGTGGTTTAGATCTGTGACTACAACAGTGTTTATAACACACCAGTGTTTGAGCTGTTGCTGAACGGTGCTTGCACAGCGTCAAAGGTTGGTTTTGTGCTCAGCCTCTCCTCTGCCCAAAGGATGGGGGTGGGCACAAAGTTGTCAGGGGACACAGCTGAGACAGCTGACCCGATTTGGCCAATGTGAAATTCTGTGCCATGTAGCATCATGCTCAGCAGTAAAAAACTGGGGCATAGTCTTTCCACAGCAGCAGATGCCTGGAGACTGGCTGGGTGTTGGTCTGCTGGTAGGAGGAGATGAATGATTGGCTTTGCATCACTTGTTCTTTTTTATTTTTTTTTCTTTTTCCTTCACTTATTAAACTCTTTGAGGTTTTTTTTCTTTCTTTTGTTCTTCCAGTTCTCTCTAGACTATTCTAGTCTATATAAGTTATGCTCTAATGTATCTAGAACAGTAGGTCTTCAATACTTTGGACCATTAGTCCACAAAGTTCACTTGGGTTTGTGTCACTTCATTCCTATTGTAGCCCTGGTACTTGGTAGCAGAGTTGTGCTGCCTGCACACAGGCTCATATTTTTGGGTGTCTTTATTTTCTTTCCATGGATGATATGAGCAGCAATCTGTGTCACCCTGTTATCTCCTCCCTTTAACAGCTTGCTCTATCCAAAAAGACAAATACATTGCATTAAAGCTGTTTTCTCCTTTGAAAGAAGAAGCCTTGGTGGATATGTATTGAGTTTTTTGTGATTTGTTTTTCTTTATATCTTTTGTTGGTATCATGCAAGTATACTGCCTAGTATGAGAAATTCTTCCCAAAATTAACTTCAATAAATAAGGGAGATTAAATTGTCTATTTTACACTCTGGGTGCTGAATACATCTTACTAGATATTCCTCTTTACATTTACTTCTGTTGTTTATAGACAAAACCACTACCAGTGGAAAACACTTTTGGTCCAGTACGTTTTTTTAACAGTATTTTATGGTACATTTTCTATGTTCAAAGTGTGTCCCATGCAGCAGAGCCATTTTATTAAAATCAATAAGTAAATACTCCTTTTTCTTACTCAGGTCTTCCAATTTTTCTTAACTGATAAGTTTATTTGTAGTGGAGCAGGAGAGGCTGTTGAAATCCCCCTCAAATACATGCTGTGTGAAATAATTGATGGAGGAAGGGTACTGGATATGACTCCTCCACAGGATGGGGAGGAGACAAAAACCTGCATATTCGTGACTTGAAATTCCGCAGTTTTTCTGTTTCAGATGGGTCAGTTATCTGACTGGCCTTGTTCTAATATAAACTTACAGTGTCGAACTTATAAACAGGAGTAAAAAATGGCTAGTAATTTGTTTAGTGAGTACTGTGTGCTTATTAAAAGAGATAATAAAACGGTAATACTGCAATAATAAAGATATTGTCAAATAAGTGTAAAAACCAAACCTATTGTGTAATTTAAGTAGTGTTAATCACTTGTGAATTTAATTACCTCATAGCTATGAGATGCGTTCATGCAATAGTTTCTTTTACTTTGACAGCAGATAGTCAGCCTGAAATGAAGTCCTAATCCCAAAGGAATAAGCCATTTATGATTGTCTTTGTTTTATCTCCAGTGTGCTCTGATTTGTATTTGTTCTTGAGCTGGTGTATTTGACATGTGGTAATGTGTGTGGTGCTATAGTGTCTCTGCTGGGTGCTTCCAAGGGGATTAATGTAACATGTGAGATATATATTGTTACTTTGAGTGCTGTTACTTGTTCACCGAGTGTGTCCCTGTTAGGCCAGAGGGCAGGGAGGATGGTAGTGCTTTATTAACTCCTCATCCCAGTGTTTTCAGCAGTGCTTTGCCACACCTGCCAATTGCTTCTGGATTAATCTGTATTTCCCTTTGCATTAAGAAGAAAAAGTTAATTATATATTCGTGTCTCTATCTTGAGCAAAATCGTGAGCTAAAGCTCAAGTCAAAATTCTGAAATTATGGTTGGCAAATTAATACTAATTTCCTTATAAATTGGATATTAGTGACCTGAAAATAGAGTGCCACAGTAAAGGTAAAACACTGTTTTGGTTTTATTTAAATGCTGAATATAAATTCATTTAAATGGGGCAGATGAGGAGCAGTCTCTTCCTTGCTTTTGGTGTGCCTTCAAGTATGTCCTTGAAGCAAGACTTGCTGTGAATTGTTTGTTACTCATGACCATAAATAAAACTCTACTTTTGGCTATATAAAATGCTATGCTGAGGTGGATCAGTCAGTCTTTTTGTACGTGATGAAGTAGACTGATGGAAAATTATGGATATTTCTAGCTTGTGCCTTGATTCTTCGTCTGTTAAGGGGGATGGAGCAGTTCATTTTTCACATAGGTGTTTCTGTGTCATGTTATTCCGTATTCAATGAGGCACACACTAATAGGAGGAATTACTTTCATTTTGAGTAGCCAGTCTTGTTGAAACAATGCATGGTTACTAAATACATATTTGCTAAGGATTTGGGAGAAAAATAATGTTCGATTATATGGTTAAAAAACAAGTCATAACAAATTCATACAAAACAGATTTCAATGGAATCATAGCCAATCTTATTTTGGTGTTTTCTTGCTTCAGTGTCCAACATTGCCCATTTAATATTCTTAAAATAGGTTACTTATGCTTAAGTTCCTAATATATACACCCCACTGCCCCCAGTCTGAACTGCAGGCAGCACTGACATTGAACTTCACTAGTTTTCTCATCATCTGACTGTGACAGGACAAGAGGAAATGGCATCAAGTTGCACCAAGGGAAGTTTAGATTGGATATTAGGAAGAATTTCTGTACTGAAAGGGTTCTCAGGCATTGGAACAGGCTGCCCAGGGCAGTGGTGGAGTCCCCATCCCTGGAGGGATTTAAGAGTCATCTAGACACAGTGCTGAGGGACATGGTTTAGTCAGGGACCTGTCAGTGTGAGGTTAATAACTGGACTCAATGATCTTAAAAGTCTTTTCCAGTCTAGGCAATTCTGTGATCAGTGGTGTTTTGAGTGCTGGAGACATCATGGAGCTCTGAAATATGCTATTATATAGTATAAGAAATAATTAAATATGTATGTGGTACCTATAAGAACAATGTGGTTTACATTTTGCTGCTTTGGAACTGAGGAAGAAGGGCATTTGGGATTTCGGGGGCATTAACAGTTGTAACAAAACATTGCATCATTTTGCCCTGTTGATCTCTAGACCAAAGAGAAGACTTTGATTGCAGTACACTTCTTTTTGTATTTGACTCTTATTTTGTTGTTTGGGTTTTTTTTAATATCTGTATGTGTACTTGCTTATATATGTAAGCTCATTGCTTTTAGTATGTTTTGCTAAAACACACCTCTTCCCTGCCACTTCAATCTGTTTATTGCATTTAGTGACATGTAAAACTGTTATGAAATGATATCCTTCCTTTTCACTCCTTTTCTTAACTGTAGTGCTTTCTGGAGTAGTGATGCTTGAAAGCTAAAGTTAAACTGCTTTTAACTTTGATTTCTTTTAAGTAAGTCTTATAATGTCTACATAATAAAGTTTGTATTGGGTCAGATCTAAATGAAGGTCCATGAAGTTTGTCTTTCCTTGCTGATACTACAGAAAATATGGATCTTAGAATTTGTGTTGTATTTTCTTACAGTTCCTATAGCACTAAACAAATACTGAGAATGCAGTTTTGTGGGTTCATAAAGCATACTTTGTGACTTAGTGTTCAACTTCATGTGAAAAATTGACTTATATGAATCAGTTGTAACTAGTTCCAGGCAGTATCCTTAAAGTGGATTTCTAAGGGGGAAGTGCCTAATGAACAATGGCTTCAGAGAATGATGCAAAGACAGCATAAAAGTAATAATGTATTTTAAAAAAACACATGTTGCCCCAGTGTAATTGTTTTTTTATTTCCTTGATTTCTAATTCTGTGTTCCTTACTACTTAGGAAATCTGAAGAAGTGTAAGCAGCTCCTTCAGAAAGCTATGGAGTGTTCTGCTGTTCCACTAGAAATGTTGGAAACTGCTCTACAAAATTTTCATTCACAAAAAAAGCAATTGCTTTCAGATGAGGAGAAGGAGAACTTTGCAGGTAACTGCAATTTCTTAAAGCGTTGGTTGAGTTAATGCATGTTGTAATTCTGGATTGAAAATAATCTTTCTAATGTTTGTCCCTTCTAGATATGAACTCATAATCTGCTATTGTCTAATAAACAGTCATATTTATAATATCAATCTTACTCCTTCCATACTCTGTTCCCTCTTCAATGCAGTGACTGAAGTTGGCAGGAGCCATAGGATGGTGGATTCTCTAATTCTGCAGAGTGTGTTCCTCTGACTGTGATTAGGTATTTGTACTTTGTAATAGAGACATAGAGCTGCAAGTGAAATAAGAGCTACTAGTGGTAGAGAAGAATTAGAACTGAAACATGCAGACTGAACTATACAGATAGCTTACTTTGAGGTGTATCTTCTGATAGACTGGTGAGGTTGTGTCAGTCATTTCAGTGAAGTTAAATCTAGGAAAAATAATCCATTTCAACTTCATATTTATTTTACAAATAGACAAAAGCCATGTATTCATCAGTACAAAACTGAAGTGCTTGGCTATATCATAAAATGTAACTTATACTGACTGCTGGGTATAGAACTTCAATAAAGGAACAGTTACATCATGAAGTTTTCAAGAGGTAGATTTGTTTGGAGTGGAATTGAGCAAAAATCATGGTGCAAAACTTAGACTGAAGTGCATGTAACTAACTCTTCCAAGAGTGATATCTAACACTTCCATATCTTTGCTTTGTATGAGGAAAGAATCAGTTCAAAATAGATCTGATTTCATTTCCTTAGGGATATGTCTTCAGGAACGTGGTTTGAGATTTGCCTGGCTTCTGTTGAATTCAGCTTTGTGCGAAACACTAGTTGTTGGGGGGGAAAAAAGCAATATTCAGTTATGGGTTTAATTTTTTAATAAACTTCCATTTTTGTTCCTATTCTTTTTGCTATTAATCAGATATAGACATTATAAGTGCCACAGCTGATGTACTGTGCCACAGGAGAATATCCTGTTGATTATCCTTCATGGATTGTGCAATTTCTATCTGATATTATTGGCTTTACTTGCTACCAAACTAAGGGAATACCTGTGAGAGAATACATGGCAAAAGTCTGTCTGCCATTTTTAGGAAGCAGGGAACTTTGAGGGGATAGTAGGCTTCTTTAGTTGTTCATTTATATGAAATTGTAACATTAGGTATTTGAAAAATGCTAAGTATTAATTCAGCTATTTAAAGATAAAAGTTTAAAAGGCAAATAACACTGGACTTGAAATATCTCAAGCTTGGGGATGTATGTGGCCTAAATCGTTGAACTTGTCTTTAAGTGTATTTGTATGGTCCTTCTGTTTCAATGTATAGGCAATTTAATTCTTGTCCATGTTTCCATTTAAAGAGTTGCTTTTGAAAGCTTTTTATTTGAAAACAGGAATGCTGTATATATAAATGCATTTCTTCACAGCTTCAAAAGATTTTTCAGAAAGCTTTTGACAAGTTATATGTGGTTACAGTTTAGTGATGCAAATATAAAAACTGTGCGCCAAGTCTAGAAACCTTTGGTTTAATTCTTTTTTTCCCTCTTTGATTCATGCATAACAATCTAAAATATTTGACATATTGGTGCAATCAAACATGTTTAGTTGGGAAAAAATAATCTAGTACTTAAAAAGTGTAGGTCATAGAATCATTTTAGAACCATTTAGGTTAGAAAAGACCATTGAGATCATAAAGTCCAACCACAGTCATGAGAAGTATGAGACAGATAGGCTGTCTCGGACTGCGAAGGAGTAAAAGTATTTCAGATCACTAACTGAATGTGAGAGTCCAGTGGTGAGCTCAGGCCAAAAAAATTCTGTGTAAAGAAATGGAAAAAGAAAGAAGTGTGTGAGATGTGTGTGAGGTGGTGATGGTGCTGGATTAGTAGACTGCTCATTCAAACCTGTGTTCAGTGTTATGTAAGCAAAAACTTCGGACTACATTATACATTGAGGCAGTTGCCTTTTTTGTTGAACTGAGTAGTTTGGTCTATTGGCAAAAGTAGTTCATAAAAAATTAAGGACTAGAAATAGCTAATACTGCAGTGTTCACCTGCCAGAAGCCTGGCTTCTGCTGGCTGAAGGTAGAAGGGGGACATGGGGTAGAAATGATATATTAAAAAAATCCTTAAACTGTGATTTCTTGAGAGGTTATGGATAGCCATGAATTCTTCTGTTCATCGATAAAATAATTTCTTATACTGATGGAAAAAAGTCTTTGTAGAAGATTATATTATATAGTATCTTAGTTGTCTTTGATTTTTGTTTTAAATACTTGTTCTTTGGTGTCTGATTGTATCTTAAAAATATATATCTATCTTGTATTGTGGAAGAGATCTTTCTATCTGAATAATCAAATACTAATTTCAATTTTTAAAAGTGTTTGTCAGGGAAATAACTGAATTTAAGAGGTTAGTGTATATCCGAAGGCTCCTAAAATAGCTGGTACTCAACAATGTTCCCTAAACAAAGAATTAAGGTACTTTTTCTATATTGTAACACGAACACATCTCTCAGAAATGACCTTCCCTTCACCTCTAGGCAAAAATAGCGTGGATGACAACCATGTTGTTTATCTGTGGTTATGAGGCTCGAGAATGCCTTTTCAGATAACTTGATTTCTGATTCTGCTTACTCTAAAGTACATCTGAAATATATACTTTATTTTGACAAAGCTCATTAATAATCTGACTAGGAGCTGACATTTCATTTTAAGATTAATGTACAACTTCATGTATCTTTTTCCAGATCTTCAATAACTGAGATTTCTACTGGATTAAGATGGGTGGTGAATGAGCTGTTTGCTATTTGCTGTGTTGGTTTTATAAGCTGTCCTGGCAGTAGAGCACAGCTTATAAGACAACTCTCAAATTTGCTATCAGTGAAATCAACTGGTTTAATTTAACCCAGTTAATTCAGTTGAATTTACCTGATATGAATTAGGGATTACTCTCATAAGTGCTGTGTTGTCAGGTCAGTGAGGTGGAGGGACCAACAAAAGGTCTTAAACCAGTAAATTCTTTAACTGGTTAGTAGTGTTGGCTCTAGAAGAGAATGTGCCTGTGGCCTAACTCTATGAGGAGGTTTGGAGGTGACTTTTGCTTACTTTTAAAGAACTTTTTTCTTTTGAAACAAATACAATCTTCAGTATTATCTGAATAATTCTAATTTACCGACAGTATCAAGTACACAAGAATCTGGACTTCAGAGCATGGTTGGAAGCCACAGAAGCATAAAAAGAAATGATTGTGGTGAAAATTCTTCTACTGTTACCAGACTTTTGCTTGGGTAATGGCTTGATTTCTTACTTAATTTCTTAAAACATAACTTAAACCAAACCCACACTACAATGTGTTTTTTTGTTTGTTTGTTTTCTGCCTTTAGGGAGGAGAAGTCACAGGAACTTAATACTCTTGTTAATTACCCCAATCCATTAAGACCACTAAACAAATCTAACCAGGTAGAGCATGTAACATTTTTCTTCAAAATCTTAAACTTTTCATTCTGCTTTACATGTGTGATAACTTTCAATTTGCTCTTAGGCCTGCCCCTTTGGGAGGATTCCTGTTAAACTAGTAACTGACGTTGATGATGATGATGATGTGAAGAAAACAGATGTCCCGCTTACAGCTAGTGTTATGAAGAGGTATGGTTACTGGGTTTACTACAATATAACAGATTTAAACTCCTTTTCAACATTGTTTTTATTGGATGCTGGAAATGTCAGATGTTAAGGATGTTCAAGGTGTTCTAAAGATTATTGACAAGTAGTCATTATAATTGCAATAGGTATTGCAATAACCTACTTCCTATCTTACTATTCAGATTCTTTATATGAGAGTATGCAAAGATCAATTTCTTGTTCTGGCTAATCAGTAGAAATGAAGACTAAGGCAAAAATAAATTTTAGTTCAAAGTAACTTTACATTTGTGTATTACAGCTTCTAAAATGAGATATAAAGTAATCTAGTAACTTCCAAAAGATTTTTAAAACTTCATTTTTAACATAACCCATATGATAATGATTATAGTAAGAAAGCGGTTATGCTCATTTTATTGTGAATAACTGTTCAGCAGCGGAAGAATCTGCCAACTAAAAGAGCACTTTGTTACATGTTACCTGACTGTAGCGTAGCTTGAAAGTAAGCAGAGGAGAAAGTTTCTCCCCACTGCAATCACGTCTGTTATGCTGACTTTCTTCCCCTTATTGCTTTGTAATTAAATTCATGCAGAAATGGGAATGCTGGGGAGAAATATGTGACCAAAAAGTAAAAATTGCATGATTAACCTCTCAGAAGTTAGTTAAAGCCCAATATTCTGAATCTGTGAAAGTAGTGGGATAAGGTATTTCACATAATATTGTTCCCTAAGCATTTAAAAATTTTACTTTGTAACACACCATTGAGGTTTAGGATCCTAAATAAGGATCCTACTAAGCCATAGCTTATTGCTGTTTTCTTTGGAAGACAACCGATTAAGTAATCTGTTATTTTATAGGCTGATAGTGGTGTTGTTACAGATTTTTTGTAATGTTTCTCATTTGGCTGTCAGAGGGGACCTGCTTTTCTCTATATTTGAAACTTGTAGCCAGAAGTCTTCACGTAACTGCTTTTTTCATCTGGTTCACAAAAGGCAATCATGACATTATATGTTGGCATGTGATGTAATTAACGTTGTTATTTCAATAGGCGAATATCAAGCTCCAAATGTACAGCCTTCGTTGCACCTTTTCCACTATCAGAAACAAAATCATGTGGGGGTGATTCATATGACCTGGGAGACTTACAGGTAACTTAAATCTTTTAAAAATAGATACAAGGAACTCTTTCTGGCTGCCTACAGTATTAGAAAGGAAAATAACACTCTTTTAAATTCAAGAAAAAAAATAAGGCAGAATTTTCCTTTATGTTAAATAATCAGTTGTGAATTAAAATATTTATTGTGCCTTTTAAATTTGAAAACTATTATGCATAATCAGGTGTTAAGAAAGAGCTTTTTCTGAACAATACATGTGATGGGAGAAATGGTGGAGGAGGGTATTAAAAACCTGTCATAAAATTTTTGAAGAGTAGATAAAAATATTTCATCTTGACTACAGGAGCTTTTTCACCTGAAGTCATGAGTTTTATCCCAGGAAGTACTCTATTCAGTGAAGTCCATTTAGTTTAACGGAGTTCATTAAGTGCTCTGTGGAGCTGTAAATTATGGCTTTTGATGGAGATTAATTTTGAGCTACATTTAGGTCTTTGTTATAGAAACTGTATGATGGAAATTCAGTGTTGGGTATAAAAATAACATCAGTAATACTTGTCTGTGTACACTGCACTTTTCTGAAGCATATTTGCTTTGTGGTGCAGTGTCATTAATTATAAGGAACTGTCTTTCAGATACTCTGCTTGGGCTCTCCTTTGATTCTTTTCAAGATGCCTTTTGTTTTCTTTAGTCTTTTTACAAAAAACTTCTTACAGTTGCAGATGTTGGATGAGAACAGCTTAGAAACAGCTATCAATTCAATTGTAACTCCCAAAACCAAAATGGATACGAGTCTTGCAATTAAAGGAGAAGGTAAGTATTAATTTGTGATGTTTCAGTAGTTTCAAATAGAATGAGCATTGAAAATTTGCTGTTCTACATTTTTAAAAAATGCATTGCTAAATAAAATATTCTTCAAAAAGTGAAAAAGTTGGTCTGTTTGCATTTCATTAAAATTTGGCTTCTGAGTGGTACTTGTGAAAGCAAAAAATAAACAAACAAAAAAATTTTAGAAATTTTATTTTTAAAGAAATTGTAAGTTTTCCTGTAATTTGAATGGCTGAGATTCTTATTGCATTATTAACATAGTTTTGGGGAATAATTTTTAACTTATTTTAGAAACAGACATTTTTGGTGTATTCCAGAAATAACCTAAGCTCTAATTAAGTATTTATCTAATGCATGGAGTTTGACTATTTTGTGAAATCACCTCATGGCATAGAAATAGAGGCAGTGTGAGACCACCTTACACTGTGTTCTTTTTGGGAAATGTTATAAACAACTCAGATTTATAGCAAGTATTTCAGGACTGGTAAAACTTAGAAGTTTACTGCTAGTGACTTGCACTAACAGTGTGGAATATGGAATATGTGCACTAATCTTTTTCAGTTACTTGCCACTTCTGTGTTTCATCAGAAATACAGCTCCCTAGATGGCTTTCTGATTTCTGATCCTACTGAGGAAACCTGGCGAAAATGTCTAATAAATGTCTAATAATATTGCAAGAGTTGGATTTAGGATTATATACATTATATACCTACTTATTGTAGGAAAGAAAAAGATTTAATTTGAAAAAGTGTGAGGTTTTTTCAACTTCATTGTCCCCTCAACCCCCAGCAAAACCTTTCCCATTGACTTGTGTTGGGGAGAGTTTAGGTTTCAGGTCTGTTTGTGCTTCGTTCAAGCTTCTGGACCAGATGCCGGTTGTAGTAGCCGAGTCCTTCGGTAGCTGAATTGCTCTCGCCTTCTGCTTAGCACAGGGTTCTGCTTTCTGGTCATTTGCAAAGAAAACTGAGCGAGCATATGAAGGAACACTCTCAGGCTGTGCTATCTGCAGCCTTGCCCTGCAATCTCCCACCAATTCCATGTCCTGTTACCTCTGCAAAAGGAACCATTAGATGGTTCCTGGTTCCTTTATGCCTCTGACTTCAGTCATTACCCTGGATTATAGGTTGCCTATTGTCACAGGTGACAGACTTCTAATTTAAATGATTGCGATAAGCTTATTTTAAATGCTTCATAAACCTGTCCAGTATGTTGTAGTAGAAATTATGAATATGATCTTGTTCTGTGTGTTGGTGAAGGAAACAGTTGTATCTGTTACTGTTATAGTAGTATACTAAGATTTTGAAGGAAGGTGCCATGTTACTACACTGAACTGAATATGAATCCTGAAGATTACATTAATGCCTTTTAATTCCTCATTCCAGCAAGTCAGCTGTGTTCATTTAGTCTGATATAGAAAGTGAGGTAAAACGGTTCTAGAAACTGCAGGATATATCTACCAGAAACTGTTTCAAGTACTAAATATCATGTTATTTTTAATAATCTGTTGGGTGGTTTTTTTTGTTTGTTTGTTTCAGAAAAAATCCAGCATCAGAAGCTGAAGATACCAGAGCCAAGAAGTCTGGAAAGTCAACAATCTAGTTCTGGTGAAAGCTATAGAAAGCAGCTGGATCAGATTAAACTAAACTGTGTTAATGCCAGAAAAAAATGGCCAAGTCAAGAAGTGACACAGAAAAGCTGCTATAGAGAGGTAAAGTAGCAGGAAATATGTAGCGATTTTTCTAGCTGCAGCAGCTTTCACATAGTGAAAAGTGATTTCTGCGTTCTTAATTGAGACTTTGTGTGGAGTAATACCTTGCTTTGCCCTGTGTATTTAACAATTGAGCCTTGAACAATCTGGTCATCCCGTTTCAAGAGGTTTATCACCACCGGATGCTGTTTCTAGGAAAAGTGATCCATCACAAGTTTGTGGAACACCAAGCACCACCTATAATGACTACATGGACTGGTAAGCCACTTTCTTGAGCTACACACTCATGAACGGTAGTTGATCTCTGGAAAGACTTCATCAGTTTTTAACAAGGTTTAAGATTTTCTGTTCAGGATTTCCAAGTGCTTCCAAGATGTGATGTCGAGCGTTTGACTTAAAGATTTAGGTTACATTTAAGGAATTTTGTCTTCCCTATCAGCTTTTCAGCATTTGGAAGTACACCATCAAATCAATAAGTCTCTATTACAGCATATACCTCTTTCTCTAATCCCTGTTACATGACACTTTCTTTTGGATGCCTTGTTTTTTTTGGCTGTCAGGCTTTTTAGATTGATGTCCTGGTTTTTAGCTGAAACAGAGCT